TGTGCAGACCATTACACTGACTAATTTGTCACCTCTATTTGTTTAATTTTAGGGGGGGAGCTCAGGGGGATAACGTTAAACGAAAGTTTAACTTCAAGCGGCCTTAATAGTACAACCGAAAAAAGCGAGAATAATGTTTACCAGTTTAAATATTATATAACATTGAATTATTCTTTTATATATTTTTATTAGAATTAATGTTATAAATTTTGAAAACAAATAATAAATGAATTTGAATAATTAGAAAACGAAGATTAACTTTCAGATAACAGTATAAAAAAATGTAGGGTTAAATCTAATTGTTTCACGTTCCTGATTTTAGTGCGCAGCTACCCTAATTGATTTAAAAAAGACATTAAGTGTTTATTTTACACAAATGATATTAATTCGCAGTTAAGAGCTGTTAAAAAAAACAAGGCTTTCAGGCTTTGTAATTTCGAGGAACCTTGTTTTCTTCTAATAGTACTCAGATACAAATAAAATCTATAAGCCACATGTTGTGCTTAATAGCCACACGCAAAATATTTTCATTCACAAATATAGTTCAGCCTTTCCAGCGTATTTGAGATTTAAATTTCATTAAGAGTTTCGAATTTCGACAGGGGTTTCGCCTTTGCAAATTAAGTAAACTAATTTCGTATAACGACTATATACAAATGCGAAGATAACCATTTTTGGTCAAAACACACCAAAAACATAGTTTTTGCTAAAAATTAAAAATCCTCAGTTACGCTCCTAACATATAGTATATTAGTCTTTGGCATATGAATGATGGGAAAAATGTGTGAAAAGAAGCTTCTAGTCAAACCAAGGTTTGTGCCAAGACACTCACTTTCCATAAAACCATACATGTCGTTTCATTTTGTTATTGGCAATCCTCACGATTCATTACTGCTCGAAACTAGAATAATAACCATTACATTATGGAACCAATCTCTCAATCACATCAAAATCATGGGTTTAGAGTATATGACTAATAAATCTTATTGGCTGCTTCGCATTCAATAGCTATATATTATTGAATGGCTTAGATGATTCATTATAAATAAGTACCAGCGAATATGGTAAATAAATTTTATAAAAAGATACACTCCCTTTAATAAATATGACTATTGTAGTGCACTCTAAATTTAGAGCTATATTCTTTATTCTTGAAGTATGGTTGTTGAGCCATTTAGTTTCGTCTCAATGGACAAAAGTACTAAAGCATAGTACTTTTTCTGAGTATAGAATTAAATTCAAAGAACCGCGTCTTTGTGATAAAACTGTTCAACAGGTTTATTTATGCCTTATTTGATTAGAATAATAAATCTTTGATCATTATTTAATACTAAAATTTTTGAATATTAGTATTCAGGGTATTTTGATATTAAAGACACTAAACATTTATTCTTTTGGTTTTTCGAATCGAGAAGTAAACCTCAAGAAGACCCGATCGTCCTTTGGGTATGTAAAAATGCAATAACATTCTATATAAAATTTTATATTTTTAATTGAAACTTCAAATTCCTGAACAGCTTTCCGGTGGCCCAGGGTTTGATACTTTCCAAACTTTATTTATAAAAATCTAAAGGATGCATGTTTCTCAAAATTAGGTAGCTGTGTGACATAATCGCAGGAACGTAATACAGTTAAAGTCTTTTGGTGTTCATATGTCATAACATGAAAACCATTACATGACGAAGGTAGACTTAATGTTTAATATTAAAAACAAAAGCTACTTACGCAAATAGACATATTTTTTAAAAAATTTTAATTGCACACTTATATTAATTTTAAAATATCAAAAAATTTCTTGCAAATATGCTTGCTTAAGCCAATTTTAAACACTAGGTAGACTAAAGCCAGGTACATCACAAGATTGCTTATACGAATTAGCCTGACGAAACAAGAAAGTGAAAACCGTGAAACATACAAAACAACGGATAACTAAACTTATCTAAGTAAAAATGATGGGAAATTGTTTTACTCGTAATACCTACCTTAATCATAGCTATACTGACCCTAACCTTAATTAATTTTAATTAAATACATCTAGTAATCCAGCGATGTACCTATTTCTCCTTATGTCAAGCAAATTCCGGGTTGATGATCACTTTCGAACCAAACTTGTAAATTGAACAGATAGAATTGCTAACATAACAAACGCAACAAACGTTAAAATTGCAAAACATTGTAAATAACGCAAAATTTTACTATGCCAACTAATTCCCGGCGTTTAAATAAAAGCTTCCAGCATGAAATTTTGATCTATTCTAGACTTAAAGTTTTAAGCTGGAGGTTCGGAATTTGCATGACATAAGAATACCTCACGCTCCATGTCAATGTGATGATTTGAAATCACATCCCTTGCTCCCAACTCAAATAACACTAGTAAAATTGATATTTGACCCGAAAATTTTGAATTATACATGCATCCTAATATTGTTATTTCAGCATTACTTATATATATATTTTTTTATACTGTACATAATAGAAATCCTTCTGTGAAAAGTTTATATTTCGAACTTGGTCCTTGCTTTGTTAATCCAGGAGGAAATGATACAACTCTTAATCCTTACTCATGGAATAACAACTCTAGTTTAATTTTCTTGGATCAAGTATTAAAAAATATTTGTCATTTTTAATGCTAAAAGGTAAATGTGGTATTATGGCGAAGTTAATTGCTTTTACTAATAGTTCCATAAAACTCCTTTTTTCTCTTTATGGATTTTATTTGATTAAATATAGATCTTAATTCCCGTTTTATATAAATTATGCGATGCTACTTAGAAAATTAGAATTCTTAATTTAATGAGGGTAAAGTGGCGAATGGAAATATTATATAAAATTGGTCATCGATATATTAAGATTAGTTCTATGATTATTTTTCCTATAAAAAAATCTATTACCGTATGTTACCGAATAGATGCAACCAAAATGTTGCAAAAAAAATGAGAATTTTTTCGAGCCAAAGTGAAGGGGGTTGCTTTATTCGAGTACAATTTTATTAGTAGAACATAATAACTGTAGTCAAATTTTTGGCTCCAAAATCTGGGGGGTTGCTTTTATTCGGGGGTTGCTTTTAATCGGTAATATACGATAATCAAAAGTTGCCAACACTTCACCATATTTGAAGTGAAAAATGGTATTTTGTGCAACATTGCTTAATAAATGAAGTCCAATTTGCTTAGTAAAAAAACCTGTTTTTTGTTTTTTGTAATACAATTAATTCGCCATCTTTATCCACATTCGCTATAATACACACATTTACCTCATGTATTTTGTGTAATTATTAACAAAACGTAAAATTATCTGGATAGCCAATTAATACAGGATATTCTTATGGTGATGATGTATCTGATTCTTTCACCGCTGCACATGATATATACGCATTTTTACAAATCTTTTTTCAAGAATTTCGCCAATATGCTAATTTAAATTTTCATATTGCTGGTGAATCGTAAGAATTGTTAATATTATTAACATTTTTAATATGTCTAAGCAAATTGCTAAATAACTAAAATCATTGTTTTATTATTCATAGGTATGCAGGACATTACATACCCGCTATAGCATCAGATATAAACTATTATAATAATAATGCCATAAAGAATCGTATTCATATTAATCTTAAATCCATCCTGATTGGAAATGGTCTAGTAAACCCGCTAGTGCAATTTAAATACTATCCAGATATTGCCTGTGATTCACCTTATGGACCTGTATTAGATAATTCAGCTTGTAACCAGATGAGAAAAGATTATATTCAATGTGCTAAATTGACTAAAACATGTTACGATTCAAAAAATATACCAGATTGCGTAACAGCTGAACAATGTTTTAATGGAATGACCCAAATTTATCGGAATACCAATAGAAGTGATTTTGATATAAGAAAATCTTGTAAAGAAGATTCGTGTTATCCAGAACTCCAAGATATCGCGAAATATTGTAACCGTGAAGATGTTAAGATTGAATTGGGTGTTAATCTTTCGTTGGCCTTTCAACTTTTAAACGCGAATATTTTTGACAAATTCTTCAATTCTGGTGATATGTAAGCAATCTAAATTGACCAATTAATATAAATTAATTTAAATTTAATTGATCTAATTTGTTGAAGCTTTCAATAATATATATATTTTTAATTTAGAATACGTCGTTTCGACATATATATTCCATCACTCTTGGAAAGCAAAATTCGAGTATTAATATATGCTGGTAATTTTTTAAATATATTTTTTAAAATTTTTATTTCTATTTAATTTATTATAAATCATTTTTGCAGGCGAATTTGACTTTATTTCTAATTGGCTTGGTAAGCACTTATTACTAAATTTATAAATATATATTTTTATAAAAATATCTTGAAGCAATTGAAGTAACTCTTTTTAGTGAAGTGATCTGCTCCATTAATAAAATTTTTTATATTGGGAGTTATAATAAATTCACTAGAATGGGAGGACTTTATACAGACTAGCTTTGAGCTTTATTGTATCGAAATTTTAATTAATAATTATATTTTATCTAGGTTGTGATGCGTGGACAAAAGCGCTTAAATGGAGCGGCACTGAAGGCTTTAACAATGCTAATATTTCTCGTTGGATAACGACTACTGGTAATTATGCTGGTGATGTTAGAACATTTAAAGGATTTACGTTCCTGAAAATCTTAAATTCAGGTCATTTAGTACCAGTTGATCAGCCAATTGCAAGTTTAGATTTCTTTAACAAATGGATATTTAATAAAAAATTGTAAATGAGTATTGAATGGTTAAGACTCTTTTGTTTTAATATTTTTCAATATTTTTAATTCAATTCATGGAAACCATTATGTCAAGCAAATTCCTTCGGACTAAAAACTTTAGGTTAAAATATATCAAAAATTTCCTATATATTCGGCATTTTAAAATACATCTAACAATTAAAATTTCTTTCGGAAAACTTTTTACTTAAAGATTTGAAGTTAGTTTTCATAGTAGAATTTCGTGCTATGATGAAATTCAACTAATCAAATTTATTAAACTTATTGAATTTATCGATAAGAATTAATGACCAGATCCCGTGACTTCATATTAAAAGACTGCGTATCTCCCAGTATCGCCATCAAAAATATTGTCACTTTCATGTGACCACCGAAAAAAATTTAAGTTCGTTTATGTTAGGATTAGCGTTTAAACTAATGTTAGAGAATGAGTAAAATTACCCAAGGAATTTTTTTTGTTAGTGCACGAAAGGAGGTTTCTTATGTGAATCTTTGAGAAATAAACGACTTGACAAAATTGACGTTTGTGTTACGTTACATCAAATTTCGATTAATTAGTGACATTTTGATGGCGTAACCGTTGTTGGGAGAGCTTAATAGAATTATGTGGAATGAAGGCCAATTTAACCCAACGGTGTACGGGGAGATA